CACCAGCAGGGTCTGCAGCAGCTCCTGCTTGCAGCAGAGCTCCAACTTGGGGCAGGTGCCCACAGCCCCGATGGCGAGGCTGATCTCAGTGACGCTCTGCGCCAGGGAGAGCTTCAGCTGTGCGTCCTGACCCCAGGGAGGAAAACACGCTCTGAGCTCCACGAAGGGCCGAGGGCGGAAAGAGCCGTGCAGCTGGGGGGAATCTGCTGCCAAGCACGGTGTGGGAAGGAGGCTGTGCCCACCAGGAGCCCAGCAGACCCCAGCTCGGCACCTGCGGCCTAGGAAGGAAATCTCCTCTCCCCTCCTGGGAAGGAGCCTCCCACAGGCAGAGAAGCGCCTGCCTCAGCTGCCGGCCGCAAAGACCCGCGGACCCCGGCCCAGGGGAGCAGGGTGAGCAGTGCTGGCATGACCTCTTTGCCCAGAGAGGTGGTGGAGTCTCCTTCGCTGGAGATATTCAAAAGCCGTCTGGATGTGATCCTGGGCAATATGCTCTAGGTGACCCTGCTTGAACAGGGAGGTTGGACTAGATGATCTCCAGAGGTCCCTTCCAACCTAAACGATTCTGTGATTCTGTGATTCTACTCACTGGACTACTGGCATCACCGTCCTAACCAACATTGTGATACTGGCTTATTTTTCAAGTCTGGGCCAGGCCAAAGCCACCTGTGACAGCGTTATCATACTGATACTGCTATGTTCACATTCTCCACAAAACAAATGAAAGAAATCCACAAACACTGAAAATGCATTAGAAACACAGTCTAGCAGGGCTCCAAATCCTCTCTTGAGTTCTACAAATAATAAAAATACAATACAACAAATACAAATAATAAAAACAGAAAAAAATAGAATAAAATAGAATACAAACAGAAGAGCTGCACGTTCACTCAAATTAAATAAATCAACCTAGCAGCGTCAAGAGCGCTCAGGTAAGAGGGAAGAAAAACATACATAAAGGAAAAAAACAAAATAAAACAAAAAAAGCAGCCTCAGACACAGACAATAAAAAGCCCTTACAATTTCTGCTGCAACATCCAGTGGATCCTGAGAAGATGAGGCAAAGCCAGCACTGCAGCTGCCCCGGCTGGGGAGCTCCGACCCACCAGGCACCAACCCCCTCCTGCCCAAAAACACCCCACCAGCCCCAGCACCGCGACGTCCCCTTTCAAGCCACAGGGCTCAGGCAGCTCTCACCAGAGGCGCAAACGCAACGCAGCAGCCAGGACGAGGCTGCCGCTGGGGCAGAAGGGAAAAGCGGCCAGAAGGAAAAGGAGGAAAGGCCAGAAGGAAAGCAGACGATGACACCCCCGACCCTTTACCTTCTGCTGCTGGAAAGTCTCTGTGAACTCCTCGACCGAGGACAAGGCCAGCTGGAAGAGGCTCTCGGCACAGTGGGACACAACAGAAGTTGCGCCCAGCCCTGGCCAGCTCCACCGGCTGGGCAGCACCTTTCCCCCAGGACACGCAGGGGATGTTCGGCAAAGCAGGCCGACATGAGGAAACCTCACCTGCACCTCCGATAGCTCCAGGTACTTTGTTTCTTTCAGGTGTTTCACTAGCTGCTCTTCCACATGGCTGACGCACCAACAAGCTGCCAGGGCCGTGCCGACGGCCCTGTACAGGAACCGCTGCAAGAGAAGAGGCCGAGCCCCAGCAAGAAGAGGGCCAGGCCATGGCGCACCCCACCGTGCCGGGACCCACCAAGGTGCCCACGGCGCCAGCCCCAACAGCAGCCGGCGGCCCGCC